TCTCTCTCTCTCTCTCTCTCTCTCTCTCTCTCTCTCTCTCTCTCTCTTTCTCTTTCTCTCTCTCCCCCCCCCAGGAATCTACAAGAAAATCCCTGAGAAAGCCTGTCTTTCTCTGATGAAGTTTAATCCTTTGGTATAACATATTCCATGGCTGCCAGCTGTTTATCTAAATAGAATATCAAATAAACTCCCGATGTCTAGGATTTGCTCTTTGGAACCCAAAAGTGAGGATACCTGAGATGAGTAATCAGATGACAACAGGGAAAGTAATTGAGCTGTGGGCCTGTCTCCAAAATGAGATGATATGAGAAATGTGAGATTAAATGGTCAGACCGGTTAGCCCCATGGTGATTTCTCCTGAAACTGTCCATAATCTGTACTGCATAGTATTCTTAGGTTCTGTGAATAGATATTCATCTTTAGAAATGATTATTTAAATGAAAACAAAGTTTCTGGAATTCTGACATTTCCCGTTTTAATTATTACAAATGAAATGTCTTCAAAGATGAAGAATATATTTTTCTAGAGAAATGATTGCAGGATTACCTTGAAAACTCTGTTATTTATAATACGGTATGATATTTATACATCAATTTAATACATGTTTAAATTACTACATAAAAGGATGTTTAATGTCAAATAATAGTGTAATTTTCCATTTGATACAGTAAGTATAATTTTAAAAATTTTTATTATTTTTAGCAGCAGCAGCAGCAGTTGTAGTGGTAGTAGTAGTAATTTTATTATTTGTTTTACATCTAAAGAGTGGGCCTTTCAGTATCCCCATCCCCTGGCACATCAAGTCTCCATGAGGCTAGGTGCATTCTCTTCCACTGCAGACAAGGCAGCTCAGTTAGAACATAACTCAGGTAAAGGCAACAGCTTTTGCCTGTTCAAGTTGTTCATATATCACAGGAAGTCTAAGATGCACATATGCTGGGAAGCCAAAATCCAGCCCAATGTATGTTCTTTGTTTGGTGGCTCTGTATTTGAGAGCCCCAAGGGTCCAGGTTAGTTGATTTTCTTGGTCTTCCTGTGGAGTTCCTATCCCCTTCAGGGCCCACAATCTGTCCTCCAATTCTCCATAAGAGTCCCCAAGCTCCATCAATTGTTTGGTTGTGGGTGTCTGTATATGTATGAGTCAGCTGCTGGGTGGAGCCTCATAGAGGACAGCCATGAAATATTCCTCTCTGCAAGCACAGCTGAGCATGATTAATAGGGATAGGGATTGATGCTTTTCCATGGGATGAGTTTCAATTTGAACTTGTTATTGGTTGGCTGTTCCCTCAGTCTTTGCTCCAGTCCCAATCCCTGAATTTCTTACAGACAAGATGAGTTTGGGGTCAAAAGTTTTGTGGGTTTGTTGATGTTGCTATTGCTCCCCTGGGGTTCTTTCTTTGCCACAGGAGTCAGTCTCCCCAGGCTACATAGTGACACAGCCAAGAGCATCCCTATTGATTGCTGTGTGCCTCCTCTATCACTAGCCTCCACATCTTCCAGCAGATGTCTCCTACCAACCTCCCAATCAGTTGCAGATTTCCATTTATTTTCATGGCTATCAAACCATTTCCCCACTATACCTGAATCTAAAACTCCACTCCACTCCTGATCTCCTTTCCCACTGAGTTTCCTCTCCTCTTATGCCTTCCATGACCATTCCATTCTCCCTTCCAAATGGAATGCAAGCATCCATGCTTGTGTCCTTCTTCCTGTCCAGCCTCCTCCATAAGTCTGTGGAGTGTAGCATGAGCATCTTGTATTTTATGACTAATGTCCACTTATAAGTGAATACATACCATGAATGTTCTTTTGGGTCTTGTATACCTCACTCAGGATAATATTCTCAAGTTCCATCAATTTGTCTGCAAAATTCATGATATCATTGTTTTTTAACAGCTGTATAGTATTCTATTGTGTAGATGTACCACACTTCTTTGTGGGATGGTAGAGCATATTTTGGTATATTCCCAGAAATGGCATAGCTGATTCTTTAGGTAGAGCTATTGCTAGTATTCTTAGAAATCTCCAAATTCATTTCCAAAGTTCTTGAACAATTTTCAACTCCCACTACCAATGGAGGAATGTTCCTCTTGCTCCACATCCTTGCCAGCATGTGGTATCACTTGAATTTTTAATCTTAGCCATTTCTATTGGTGTAAGGTGTGATCTCAGAGTTGTTCTGGTTTGCATTTCCCTGATGGCTAAAGACATTGAACATTCATTTATGTGCTTCTTGGCCTTTCAAGATTCCTATATTGAGAATTTTCTATTTAGCTCAGGCATAGAAGATTTAATAGAAGAAATTGGTACATTAGTCAAAGAAAATTCAAACTCTAACAAATTCCTGATGTCAGTAGGAAGATTGTGAGTTCAAAGACAGCCTTGGTTACAAAGTGAGACTTGGTGTAAGACAAACAGTCACACGTCATATCATGATTCCAAATATATCAGGACACCCGAAGTTTTTATTTTAGATAACTTATTGAACTGACATAGTTTTGATTTAAATGTTCTACTAATAAGAAGTCCTTTACAAAATGAACATAGTGGGATTGACTGGTGGGAGGACAGGACAGCAGAGAACAACACAGGAATGCTGGGAACTATTCTTGATTGTTTTTTCATCAAACAGACAAAAATTTCATTATAAGGTGTGTTGTTTCCTTTACAGAAGTTCCTTCAGCCCCAGGTTACTCCTGACAATTACTGGATTGGATTGTTATATGATAATGAGAAAGCAGAATGGGCATGGATTGACAAAGGCCCATCTAAACTGTGAGTTTTTGAACCCTTCCTACTCTAACACTGGTGTGTGAATTGGGATGATTGTGTGCAAAGGTTTTTCTCTTAGTTCACATGGCTTTCCTCATTTTCTATGGAGCCCATGGGTAAGGACAAGTGAATAAGGCAGTGTCTGAGCAAGTGTTACAGAGGGAAGATATCTGGTTGAGGTACTGACCAAAAGTGGTTTGATACTGCATACATCTCAGGATTGTGTCCTCTAAGATGTGAAGGGCACTAGGAAGTCAACAACTTGTGATGGTGTGAAGTGACTGAATTATCATGACAGATACAATGAGTGTGAGTCTCTCAGACACTTGTGACATTTTTACTATTTTTAGCTTATAAAATCATTGGTTATTTATAAATATAAGGACATGTTTATATACACATATATATGAAAGCCTACCACCCATTTGAAGGTGTTTTGTTGTATAAATCTCAACTTTTTGTTTATTCATAGTCTGGTGGAAAACTATTCAATGATTATATTTATTAATAATACTTACTTTTCTTGAGTATTATCCTGTAGCCCCACTAAATATATAACATGTGACCCACTAACTCATGTCTTTGTAACTAACTCTTCATATGTGTATAGTTTTACACCATCAACTGGAACAAGAAAACCCAGCAGTGGCCACACCCTCAATATAGAATTGCATCTCCATTTTCTAGCAGCTTTCACCTAACATAGTGATTTCTTAATAAGAAATAATTGTTTCAGAAATTTCATCTTTTCTAAAAGGCTATACTTCACAGAGTTTCCCCCTTCTCTGGTTCTTACATTCTTTCTATGTTCTCTTTCTTCCCTGCTATTCCATGAGTCTTGCTGGTGGAATGAAGGGGAAGAGGTTAATGTGGATTCTCTTTAAGGTCTAAGCACCTAAACACTTCTTGTAAGCTCTTTGACCAGTTCTGCCTCTCTGCAAGGACTATGGCTCACTGAATAAAGAAGGTTCTGATGAAGGTTGAGAGCACCATCGGCCTAGGCTATAACTCTGAATGTTAAGAATGCATTTTAACCACTGACTACATAGCAGACCAATTGTAGCAAGTTCCAACATAGAGCCTGTGACTTTACAAATCATGGGCTTTTGAATTGGAATACAACACCAAACATGATTGTCTCCTATCATAAATACCCCTCTTCCAGTAAGAAAGCATTTATTTATCATATAACATATCCCACCCAGCAGGTCAGAATTATAGCCTGCAGGCTCCAGTACAAGATAGGACTTTTCTACCCTGCAACCTGCAAAACACCTACTAAGTCTTTGAAAAACAACCCAGGGGAAGATATTTTCATGTTGGTTTGAGATTGACTTCTCTATGTGTTGGTGTCAAGGTATCGAGCATCTTCAGCAATAGATCCTTACCATGTAGTTAAAGCAAGGGCAAGAGCACTATCTTGTGCTATGTGAGAGAACTCTGTCATCTCCCTGATCAGTTTATCCTTTGCCTTGCAATTTGGTTCTCTTTTAAAAACTCCTATCTTCTGTAATTATGATTCCTTTCTAAATTTAAATATTTATGTTTTAATTAATGGATTTTCACAAAATATATTTTGATCAAGTTCCCTCCCAACTGAATACTTGTTGTTTCACACTTTCCTACACACTAATGTCATGTCATTTCTCTCTCCAGAAAACAATGACAACAAAAAAGGGAAAATAAAATCAAGCAAGCAAGAAAACTATAAAAACCCAATAAGACACAAAACGTCCTTCCTCAAACAAGCAAACAAACACACAAGCAAAACCACACATACAAAAAGACTCCAAACCACAAAGAAAATATGGAGTGTGTTTTGTGTTGGTCAACTATAAATTTATAACTAGTGAATTTCTATAAGGCTATTTATACATTTTAATTTTGGATAACCCATCCTTTTTTGCTCCTGTCTCTTATTCTCCACTACTCATCCAGCCTGTTCTTGTGATAGCTTAATCATATGGTTGAAGCTATTCTGTGCTACAGATTGAGACTCTGTCTCATGAAGCATAATAATAATAATGCCAATGTGACATACTATGTTGTCCATAAATATTTTCTATGGTTGAACAATTTCTTTTATATCATCACATTAAAATGATAAAGCTCAAAAATCTAAGTATGCATCTGGTAATATGTTTTAATCCATAACACATATTCATAATTTTCAGTTTTCTGAATAATGTTCAGAATCATGCAGTATATTCACTTGTCATGTCCTTTAATTCTGAAATGATTTGACTCATTGTTTGTTTATTTGTTTGAGAGTTACATTTTTAAAAACCAAGTTTTCTGTTTTTAAAAATATGTACCTACTCTATGTTGCGAGATAAATGACTCTTAACAAAAAAATACACCATTTCAAACATCATTGTACAAACTAGTTTTATGTCAACTGACAGAAGCTACAGTCATCTGGGAGGATGGAATCTTAATTTGGGAAAGTACCTTAATAAAATATGACTGTAAGAACACCTATGGGGCATTTCCTTAATTAGTGACTGACTTGAGAAAGCCCAGCTTATTGTCAGTATCACCCCTGGGATGGTGTTGAATGTGGTAAGAAAGTAGGTTGAGCAATTTTTTGGGAGCAAAACTGTAAGCTGCCCTCCTTCTTGACATCTGTGTCAGATTGTGCTTTCTAGCTCCCGCCCAGATTGGCTCCTGTCCTGTCTTCCTTCACTTATTGATGGTGATGTGGAAGTTTAAGCAAAGTAAATCCAAGTTACTTTGACTATGATTTTACCATAGCAATAGAAACCGTTAAACTAAAACAGCAGCTTTGTTACCCTTTAAAATTCTTTTATGTACCTTGATCCACACCTGGCCCTGAATAAGCAGACATGAATTCTCTTGTACTATAAGTGAGTATGGCCTAGTGCAGACTGTCATGTTCTATGTACAGATTTATGATTGGCTCTGTGTTTTCCTGCATCTTTCTCAACTATTGTTATCACTATGATGTTTTAAGTAACTTGAGATTCTTTTCTTAGCTCAGTGTTTCACTCTTCTTAGAAAACACTTTTGCATTGCACAAATATTCCAAAATATTTCTTCACTCGCATATGACCGTATATGTTTTTAAATTTTGACGATATGAATTTTTGACAATTATAAAAGTTGCTGCATCAATTGATGTGCATTTTATTTCTATTTTAGTAATTATCTTTTGTTAACAGCTGTCTTCTGGGTTCTTTTTATCTTTTGCCCACATTTAAAATGTGCACATGATGTTTTAACTGTAACTATGAGAATGTCTTATGGCTGCCTAGTATGCATATCCATTCCTAACTATTCCACATTCAAAAAAAAAAACTCTTGGTTTAATTTATCTTCCTTGTTTCTTTTATATTCCTACATAAATTAAATATGCATATTCCTTTTCTTCTCATCTTAATCCTTAAGATCAAAGGCAGTGACATATTTTGATAGACTGAGTCCTTTGAAGTTTCAGTCTCATATAGTTAGTGTGGATTTCAATAACTTTCTTTCTTTGACAGAGTCTCATTATCTGAGACTAGCCTCAAATTCCCTGTGTATTTTTAGCCTTGAACGTTGAATCCTCAGACCTTCACTTCCCAAATCCTTGTACTACTATTGTATCCCATTAGGCCTGAATCGGTTTAATATTGAGGATCTTTATTATGAATGCATTCTTTAGTCATATTCCTCTATTGGAGATAAAACTGGGTGCAGTGTTTCTCTGAAAACCTGTGGTTTGATCCAACCCTTGCTAATATCTTAGCCTGAGTAGAAGTCTGATTTGTGCTGGTTTAAACAATAATTAAGAAGATCTTAACTATTTTGACTTCTGATTTTGTTACATAGCCCAGGCTGGCCTACTCTGTGCTAATTTGTTTTGTGTTCTAATTTGTTTATTTATTTTATTTTGTAGCACTTAACTTTCTTTTCTAAAGAAGAGTATTTATGGCCTGTACTATACAATCCTGCAGATTACCGTATTTCTCTGAAGGCCCATTAGCTAGGATGTGGTATAGGAAAAAGGAGAGAACAATTCAAAACATTAATTATATGCCTTTATCTGTGATTGTATTTCAAATCTTCCATTTCTCCTTGAAACACAAGCATATGAGACTGTGTCTTGAGCCACACACATCTGCTTTCACTTTTATCCTAGCAATTTTACCGACAAGATATAAGTCGGAGAGCATGTTCAGCATAAAATAATTCCTTGGATATTTTGAAAATCCATTTTCCCTGATGTCCACAATTTTCTAGTATGAAAAAAGATGGGGATTTTGTTGTGACAAAGATCTCATTCATTTTTAATAGGCTGAGAGTTGAATGTATTATATAGATGACTGTATGATGAATGTTTACATATTTTGTTTACTTTGGTGAACAGAATTTTTGAAATCATCTTATTTCAGGGAATGTTAAGAATAACCGGTTTCCCATTGTTGTTTTTGTTTGTCAGTGACTTGAACATAAAGAAGTTCAAACTAAATGATGGAGGATGTGTGTTCTTATCTAAAACAAGGCTAGAGAATATTAACTGTGGTAATTTATACAGCTGTATTTGTGGGAAACAATTGAATAAATTCCCTGATTGATGCTCCAATGAGTATTAAAGGTAAAAAATGAAATATTCTGGTTCTCATTTGTTCCCTGTAATAATTCATGACTCCATACAAATGAATATGTTGATCATAGGACTTAGTCTGCTGTGCAAACAGAGACAATCTGGAAGATTTGGAGAATGTTCTTTGGAATCTGGCTTGACAGAGCAGAGGACATCTTCTTTCCTTGTGGAGACAAGACAGATCATCTCTGGTGCATGGACAGGCTTTGCCCCAACGCCTGGGGGAATATTTTCTGTTTGCTTAAACTCCCATAGAACTAAATAAAGAACCATATTAAACAGCATGAGTATTTCATTATGAGTAGATTAAATCATTTTAATTAAAAGCATAATTTAGAGCTACAATTTCACTATTCATATACCCATATTCTCTGATTGCTCAGTCCTCTGAAGCAAGCTGAGCTGCCCTAGGCATCCTGCTATACCAGGAAGACCTCCATTCTCCACTCACCTGTCTGACTACCTTAGTCAGTTCTGTGGCTGCTGAAGAGATCTGCAGATCCTGAAATCTACAGATATCTAGGTGCAGAACCATACAACCCAAGGATACCCATTAGAAGCCTGCCTTAACAGAAATATTTTTTCCAGATGAAACAGAAGCAATAAAGAGAGATAGAAGCTGCTTGGCAAAAATCTAACATGGACCAAGGACAAGAAAATGGGCTGCTTGGCAGGAATCTGACATTGGCCAAGGAGAAGGAAGTAGGCTTCAGGCAGGAATCTGGCATTAGGCTAGAGCAAGGAAGTCATTTCATGAAGAAATCTAAATTTTAAGCTAGAACAAGAATGTAGACATGAAAATGAGTCTGGGCTAGGTCAGGGAATTTGACTCAGATATTTTGGTCATCCTCATAAGACCTTAGAAACAGTGACCATGAATTTTTGTTTACTGCCTTGCTTGTTCTTTGACTATTTGTGTTTGTTGTCTTGCCTGTTCCTTGACTATTTGCATCTATTGTATTGAAAGTTCCTCAACCTAGAACTGACCTTAATACTTGCATATAATTAAAATGGTGTAAAAGAAAGAAAAGGAGGAGGGGGATGAGATAGGGTTTTATAGAGAGGGGAAATGGAGAACAAGGATGGCATCTGAAATTTTAATAAATAAAATATCCAATAAAAAAAGAGAGACAGAAATAGAAGCAATAAAGAAAATATAAATTAAGGAATCCTGCAGATAGAAAACTGAGGGATGAGAATAAGAAAAAACAGATACAAGCATCGTCAAAAAATGTACAGGAAAGGGAGGAAGGAATATAAGGTGTAGAAAATACAATAGATGAAAGTGATACATCCAGTATCTGGGAACTGCGGACCTGAGAGCTTCCTGCAGAGGGCAGGCGGTGGGAGCAGAGTGGGTCGAGCGGGGCGGAGCCGGGCCGTGGGCCATGTGGGGGCCAGGCGGGGCCGGCGGAAGGCAGGATGGGCTGCACCGTGAGGACAAGGTGGCAGCCAAGCACTCTAAGATGATCGACAAGAACCTGCGGGAGGACGGTGAGAAGGTGGCACGGGAGGTGAAGTTGCTTCTTTTAGGTGCTGGAGAATCAGGGAAGAGCACCATTGTCAAGCAGATGAAGATCATCCATGAAGATGGCAACTCACAGGAGGAGTGCCGGCAGTACTGTGCGGTTGTCTACAGTAACTCCATCCAGTCTATCATGGCCATCGTCAAGGCCATGGGCAACCTGCAGATTGACTTTGCTGACCCCCAGCGAGAGGATGATGCCAGACAGCTGTTTGCACTGTCCTGTGCTGCTGAGGAGCAAGGTATACTTCCTGAAGACCTGTCCAGCGTCATCCGGAGGCTCTGGGCTGACCATGGTGTGCAAGCCTGCTTTGGCAGCTCGAGGGAATACCAGCTCAATGACTCAGCCGCTTACTACCTGAATGACCTGGAGCGCATTGCACAGAGTGACTACATCCCTACACAGCAGGATGTGCTTCGGACCCGTGTGAAGACCACAGGCATCGTCGGAACACACTTCCCCTTCAAGGACTTACACTTCAAGATGTTTGATGTGGGTGGTCAGCGATCTGAGAGGAAGAAGTGGATCCATTGCTTTGAGGGTGTCACGGCCATCATCTTCTGTGTAGCCTTGAGCGCCTATGACTTGGTGCTGGCTGAGGATGAAGTGATGAACCACATGCATGAGAGCATGAAGCTGTTTGACAGTATCTGCAACAACAATTGTTTCACAGACACCTCCATCATCCTCTTCCTCAACAAGAAGGACCTGTTTGAAGAGAAGATCACTCAGAGCCCCCTGACCATCTGTTTCCCTGAGTACACAGGGGCCAACAAGTATGACGAGGCAGCCAGCTATATCCAGAGCAAATTTGAGGACCTGAATAAACGCAAAGACACCAAGGAGATCTACACGCACTTCACTTGCGCCACTGACACCAAGAACGTGCAGTTTGTATTTGATGCTGTCACTGACATCATCATCAAGAACAACCTGAAAGACTGTGGCCTTTTCTGAGGGGCAGTGGGCCTGGCAGGATGGGCCACCGCCGACTCTGCTCCACACTACCCCTGAGGAAGATGGGGGCAAGAAGACCATGCTCCTTGCCTGTCCCCCTCAGCCGCTTCTCCAGTCTTTTCTCTCTGTTCTCAGCTCCCCTGTCCCCTCCCTCGGCTCTAGACTTGGGGGAGGGGTTGCCACAGGCCTCCCTGTCTAAAACCCACCTTTGTCTGAGGTGCCGGGAGTGGCGTTGGTACAACCTTCCTGGGCATCCGTTCAGGTTTTCTAACAGTTGTCTTGTTCTGGGGTGAGCGGGGAGCACATGCAGAGTTTCCCAAGGCCTGTGTCTGGAGGAGTACCAACTCCTCCAGCCTAGACCCCCTGGCTTTGTCCAACACCAGCCCTGACCCAAGTCCAAATGTTTACAGGGAGCCTCCTGCCTACCCCACTCTCTGCCGCTCGGAGGCCCCAAAGGAAAAAGCACAAGAAGCGTGAGAGAGACCGCCATTCCTGGAGACAAAGCCCACCTACTCATTCTCGTATCTTTAAAAAAAAAGGAAAAGGAAAGGAAAGGAAAAAAAGAAAAAAAAAGAAAAACTGCAAATCTAGAAAACTTTTTAGAGAAACCTATTTAAAACTGTCAGGTCCTGACCAGCACCCCCACCGCACACCAGCCCCTCTCCAGTGATTCTGTGCCTTGAGTGCATCTGCGTGTTTACACTCATCCCTCTTTGGGCGGCCCCCTGCCCTGCCCTCCACGGAATTGGATTCCAAGGGCTGTTCTAGACAACTGCCAATGTCACTGAGGGCCCTGCCCTGAAGCCCTGGGCCCAGGCTCCATTAACCTAAATGTAGCTCCTTAGTGCTAACCTAGGAACCGCTGCTGCCTGCTGAGGGTCAGGCCCCTCACGCCTCATCCCAGGCCAGGGTCCTCCAGCGTTGAACACTTCCTTGCTTTTTTCACATGTTTTATGGAATTGTTCACATGATTTGAAATAATAAAACGTAAAAAGAGACACCAAAAAAAAAAGTGATACATCAGTTAAAGAAAAAGTTAATTCTAAAACTTCCTGAAAGAAAACTATAAAATCTGGAATACTATGGAAAGCATTAACCTAGGAATAATAGAATACATGAAGGTTAAGGGTCCCAGCTCCAAAGCCCAGAAAAATATTTTCAACAAAATCCTACAAAAAAAAATTTCCCAACCTAAAGAAGAGATACCTGTAAACATCTAAGAGCCTATATAACACCAATTAACTGGACAAGAAAATATAATCCTATAGGGGAAGACTTTGAGTCCCTTCTCCTAGCCATTTGGAGGTCAAGGTTCTCCTGTCTGCCTATGGATCAAGACGTATTACTTTTGGCTAGTTTTCTAGGGCCCTGTCTGCCTGTATGTTTCCCTGCTCCTGCCTTGATAAAGGACTGAACCTCTGAACCTGTAAGGAAGTCCCAATTAAATGTGGTCCTACATAAGAGGTACTTGATCATGGGGTTGTCTTAGTAATGAAAACCTAACTAGGTCTAGGTAATAAACATAATTTATCAATAGTGCAATTTTCTGCCGGACACTGTAACAGAAGGATTATAGAAGATTCTGCCTTAGAGTCCATGATCTCTCCAGTCATGGGCTGTTGATTTGATTAGAATTTAAACATATCATCCCTCATGTGGTAAATGTTTCAAATCCAGTAAGAAATCAATTAGCTATCCTCTAGCCATGGTACCACTGGGCATATCTTCCTTAGTATGTGTGTAGCTAGGCATGGCAGCAATAAAGTCCTTAATACCTTTTCTCCTTCTAGCAGACTTCATTGTACCTAATGACAATTTAAAAGCTAGTACAAGGACAAATGATTCCTGATTGATTTGAGATTAAATCTCAAATCTCTATGTCCTGGTGTTACAATGTGTTGTGTCTTCAGCAATAGGGTATTACCACGTAGTTATGCAGAATAAGCAATTGTAGAGGCACTAGCCTGTGCTGTGTTGGAGACCTCTGTGGACCTTGCCTTGCACTTTAATTTTTATTTAATAACTCTTTTTTAAATTCCTCTTAACAGTCATATTTGGATTTTATATTTTTATATATTTTATTTTTAGATTGTAAATACTGCATAGTCCTCAGTGTGTTAGAACTTACTCTCTGCAGAGAGTTGACCTCTATTTCAGAAATATGCCTGCCACTAAGCCTGAGTTCAAGGATAAAAGACATGCACCACCCAACAACCAGCTCTACTTTGATGTTCTGGTTATAATTTTTTCATAGAACATATTGTTATCATGTTTTCCAAACCCAGATCCTCTCAGATCCTTCCCAACTTTACTACCCACCAAATTTCATGTTCTTTCTCCCTCTTGATGAACCAAAATAACACAAAATGTGAAAATCAATTGAGTAAACAACAAAACAAAAATAGAGAAAACATACAGCAAACAAACAAAAAACCCAATGTAACAAAGAAACATGGAGTCTCTTTTGTGTTGTCAGCTATGACCTCACTAGCTAGAATTTCCATAAGGCTTTTTCATAGATCTTTTGTTTTGGTTAATCTATGTTTTCTTCTCTCTTGTCCCTTATCTTTCATTTCTTATCTCCTTTTGATCCTTTAATACTCTGCGTTCATATCACACATTTTTCATTCCTCAGGTTTGTGGTTTTAGAGACAATAAATAAATACTGATTTTTCGCCCAAATATCTGTGTTTGTCTTAAATTAGTGTTCATAGTTATATTCTGAGTTATCCTTTATATCTTTAAGAAATATTTTAAACCTTTATTTTGTTGTTATTGTTTTGAGATAGGGATTCACGTCAG